ACCTTGCCGAAAGACCCGCAAAACCCACCACACCGACCGTCGAAAAGAAAACGTTGTTCCTCAAAGTCCCTTTCCAAGGAGAAGCTGCAAGTGAACTCCTAAGAAGACGTCTTGACCAAGCTGTCTTGAGAACCTTCCCAGCAAGTAGGGTTCGCATATCATTCTCTACTAGCCCTATTTTACGCGGAGAAAGCAAGGATAGGCTGCCACCTCAGACCACCTCAATGTGCATTACTCATTCACTTGCCCCTGTGGAGCAGGTTATATTAGTCGTACGAGTCGGTGCCTTTCCAAAGGAATACGAGAGCACCTTCCCGCATGGGTGACAAAAGGGGAAACTAGTAGAATGGACAGCGCCATCCTTGCGCATGCAGTGTATTCAGGGCATCTTGTGGCTCCCGCCGAACTACCCTTAGCTACTGGGCCAGTGCCTGTTATCAACAGCAGAAGCGGCCGCCATCAGGTTACGAAAACCGACCCTATGCGCCCAGAAGAACCTCGTTCAGGCTCCGCGCTTACCGTGGTCAAAGGTTTACTAACCACCTACAACTTCCTGCGCCCTTCCGTTCTTGCCTAGCCTGTATTTTAAAGACTAACTTTTATCGATTTTTTCACCCACTGTACCCCGTCCCATATAACTGTACTGGCCTGACGAGAAATTATCGAAGGCAACGTTTGCTCGTCACCTTTTTTCTGTCTTGTCTGGATATTCCAGACGAGATCATTGTTTATCATAAACTCATACACCCTGCATACTCTCATCCCGGAATGAACACGAACAGCCAGCGACGACCACAGCTAGTTAAATTTGTAGAACTGTTGATGAGAATTCAAGAGACCGAAGGTGCAGATCTCTCTGATGGCGAATAATTCTCGTCGGTGTGAGCTTGTGCCCTCATAGTCCCCCCCCCCCTCCATCAGAAGTGCTATGTGCCGTAACACGAACCAGAACTGTAGGCGGCTAAACAACGGCTCGTGTACTTGTTCCGGAACACGCTTCGGTGCTCGACTCTTCTTCTTCACTTATGCATACACCTGGAACTCGAAATTTCGCCTTCATTCGTGCATATGAACTGTCTGAGGGCGAGGTGGAAATATGGAGAAATTCTGATTTTCCGTGAGTGTTTATGCCTCGTTGACCTTTCATGTTTGGAGACTGACGAATTAAAGGGAATATTATCCTGGAGGATCTGACATGGCAATACTTTTGTTCCCGCGGTCTTCAGTCCGGGCATTCCAACGAAGGATGACAAGATATATTTCCTTGTTAGTCCATATCTGTCCTCATATATGACCTGACCCACAAAGTTCTTCAATCACTGCAGCTTTTAGTCTTGTGGTAAACCAAATACGTCGGCGATTGGCTGTGATAATTCAGCGTCTAGGAATGTGATCCTCTTGAACAGATTATGTCGTCGTATTTTGGAAACCGCGGATAGCATCGCCTGGTGAATTAATTCATACTTAAGTCATAGTGGTTTTGGCGTGATAAAGACCACATGTCCAAAACCGCATGACTAAATCCAGCCAACGAGCCAATTCTTCGGCTTTTCCGAACCTTGAAGCACTAAGATCCTGCCATCGTGTCCGCATTGTCAGCGAATATCCCTAGCAAGATCTGCCTCGGTGGATGTCTGAAGACAACAACACCAGCAATCTGATTTTCATCTCGCAAAACATTACTACTACTACTACTACTACTACTACTACTACTACTACTACTACTACTACTACTACTACTACTACTACTACTACTACTACTACTATTACTATTACTATTACTACTATTAATACTACTACTACTAATAATAATAATAGTAACAATAATAAAACCAACAGCAGCATAATAGGAGGTTATCCTGCCAACCATCCCCATCATCGCCACTTCCGTCGGTAGTGTGTGTCCAGTCTCAACCCGTCTGCATTGCGAAAGTACCTTCGACTCACATACAGTAGGTGGGTTAACTCATGAAATGTCAACAGAAATTCCGAAACGCGTTTCCGTTTCGAAAATATTAATTAACTGGGGTTGTAAAATCAATCATCGTGTAGCATAATTCTATACTAATTCAGTTACCCCAGGACGCCGGCTTTTGAACAAAATTCTTTCCGGCTACATCCAAAAACCATACTCCGTAAAAAATGACTACTTAATTAGTACGCATTTTTTCATTGAGTTTCGATGCCCTTAAAGATTCAATTATATCTCATGATAGAAAATTACGTCTCCTTTCAATGTTACACTCAAAGGAAGAGTATAATTTGGTTTTATAAAATCTTTCCAATTCCCGAATAATTTTGAACCCGACCTGCCGTTACATTCGCATTCAGGGTTCCCAAACTACAAACCGTATAATTTCCACATACGCCAAAGCATACATTTTTCTACCTTATTAAGAGGAGACCATATGGGGTTCATAAAATTAAGCAGTGAATTTGAGCCACATTGTTAACTTTACGAGCCACATTAGTAAATGCAGAGACATGACGTTTTATGAAGGGCCGTTTCACTGTGTTAAAAAATCTCACAATTAAAAACTTTTTTTAAACCGAATTATGCACTTCCTTCGAGTATAAAATTGGAAGAAGACGTAGTGTTCTACCGAATAAGCAAAAGAATGTACACCTTTATACATGTTTTCCAGAAAATATAATTGGACTTTTAGGGGCATCGAAACTCAATGAAAAAATTCATGTTACTTAGGTATCCAGTTGTTACGGAGTATGGTTTTTGGATGCAGCCGGAAAGAAGTTTGTTCAAACGCCGGCGTCCTGGAGTAACTGAATAATTATAGAGTTATGTTGAAGGTTAACTATTTTTACAACCCTACTTAGTTAATTTTTTCGGAACAAAAACGTATTTCGGAAATTCTGTTGACATTTCATGAGTTAGCCCACCTACTGTATCTGTTTGGTAGGTCTCCTGCGAATCCATCGCACCGTAACCGGTGAACCAATGTCTGGAATCTCGACTTGCACACCTCACCCAGGCGCTGCTTGTCCTACCAACATCAGCAATCCGCTTTTTGTCCCACAAAACATTACTAATACAACTACTACCATCAACCCCGCAGCAGGCATGCGACACTTTGTCAGCGTCAATAGAGCCGGTGAAACTTTGAATTTCAGGCTACGCTCATCTCCCTTTAGTGAGAAGCGTGTTAACAGGGGTAGCTTGACACACAAAGTGGGGACTAGGTCATAAAACGCACACCAAAACGGGTCGTTTGACAAACCAGCTGGCTGGCAGGTTCAGTCGGTCGACCGGCTCAGCGATGAGGAAAGTGAGTGCGAGGTAAAGGCTGGAGAATACGTCTTCCAGACAAGTCAACGCATTCTGGCCTTTAATATTCAAGTCTTACGCTCCTGTCTCTATCATGAGGCGCCAAGAGTCGTGGCTTGGAGGTCTGTTAACTGAAGGTCAAGCTGTAATGGCTCCTTAATGTGACCTTTATGACAATGCCACCTGTGTGAGATCTGCGACCTCCTAAATACAACCTAGCGCACATGAAACAAGACCAGGTCAAGTTTGGAAATTCAACTTTGTCCTCCACTGCGCCCGCACCCACCACCAGTCGTCTTGACACTCTAGTCATTGGAGCAAAGCGGGTGCAGCAGACGCTTCGCAAGTCGCCGGTGCTCGCCCACTTCGTGGGGTACACGGTGGACGTCGTCGCCTGAGATTGTCGAACTGTCAGTAGGTCCGTGCTGGAGTTGCCAGGACTTCGGGGATCCGTTGCCACTTCTGTCTAATTAAACGAGGGTCCGAGGGGAACAGCAAGGTGTCAATCTCATCGAGATGATTTAAGTAACAAGCCCTTTTTTCTGTTGTCTCTGATGATGGGTTCGAGCAGGAATCCGAAACGTCAGGCTAATAAAACTCTTGTCCCAGCGATCATGTCTCCTTCTTCAATAGCACCTGGTGCAGTTGGTCCACCACTGGGGTCTACCAGATGGGTCATAAGCACTTCATCGAACCAAAGGTCGCTAGTGCCTTGGCACCTGTCATTCCCTGTCACTGCAGATCGGGTATTTATTCAATCGGGAATGGGCGCACACCGATCTATTGGCTTCACAAAGCAAACAAGCTCCGTATGTGTGGCAAAGGTCACGAACAGGCAACCAATTACCAGGCCGAAGTCGGCCAAGTCATAATAGCAGCGAGGAGGGACGACAGAGAATGCGGGTAGATTGATCAGCCAATCATAACCCTGACCACCAGCAGCTGGAACCAGAAACACAAACATGCGCACAGACGCACCTGGCGCAGTCGGTCCACCACTGAGGCCTACCAGATGGGTCATAAGCACTTCATCGAACCGAAGTTCATCAGTGCCTCGCCACCTGTCATTCTCTGTCGCTGCAGATCGGGTATTTATCAATCAGGAATGGGCGCACACCGATCTATTGGCTTCACAAAGCAAACAAGCTCCGCATGGGTGGCAAGGGTCAAGAACAGACAACCAATAACCAGACCGAAGTCAACAAAGCCCTGATAGCAGCGAGGAGGGACGACAGAGAATGCGGGTAGATTGATACAGTACTGCTTCGGGCTTATTTTGCCTTCGACCAGCTGATCATAACTCTGACCAGCAACTGGAATAAGAAACACAAGCATGCGCACAGACGCACCTGGTGCAGTTGGTCCATCACTGCATCGAACCGAAGAAATCTCGGCAACTCTTACCACTTGTAACATTTATTTACCATCTTTTTTCAATAGCATAAACATACTGCTTTCGCGCAAAATAGATAACAACACGGTGGTGCGAGCCGAGGCACCAGCACTTGGTTTCGGTGTATCAGTCTGTTCTTTTCCAATAGGGAAACTAGCGAAACTCGACTGTCGGAGATATGTGAGTGAAACAAGCGCATTCTTGCCGGCATCTCCAACTGTTTCCGAAACATTCGTTGGCCAGAAGAGACTAGTAAAAGGAGGTATAAGCTGCATGTTTGAAATAAAAGTTTGTCCCATCAAAAAGTCATCAGTCGAGAGAAATCTAGTAATCTTCATCTTCATCATAATCCTCGTAGTCATCAGGGTCGTCGGCAGCGCTCTCATCTTCACTCAGCTCTTTCAGACGACTTCTACACATGCTTCCCTTGCACACGTAACCACAGATGCCCTCGTGACATGCGTAGCCCTCGTACTCCCCGAAACGACAGTGTTTCGCGCTGCAGCCTTCAAAGTCCACTCTGCCAAAGATTTCCAGATGTCCGGTGAAGTCGCGTCTGGCCTGTCGGCGTATTGCCCCGACAGAACGAGACGCTCGACCACCAGATGCCTTCAAGCGTTCCGTCTCGTAGCAACCGTCGGGCTCGCAGATGTAATCGCAGAATCCGTCTCGGCATCCGAAGCCTCCGTAGTCACCTGTATGACAGGTTAACTCAAAGCAGTCCTCGAAATATATCTCCCCATCCTCTGCTTGAAGTTCCTCGTCAGTGAGGAAGGGATATCGACTGGAAGGGTAAAATCGATCGGGAAGGTGGAACGCCTCCGCGTCAAGGTCATCGGCGAAGGTGAAAGCCCCTCCGAAGGGCAAAGCGGCCAACACAGTGATCGAGCCAAAGAAAATGAGAATCAAATTCATTTCATCTGGCTTCACTGTCGCCTTTGACGGAACGCACCCAAAAGACGCATTTCTTGGCTGATCGATAATTGCGCAGTTATTAGAGCTCAGTACTGATTGGACAGAAAACTAAAAGGGACTTGCCAAATAAAACCCGTATACTTGGCGATTTCAGAACAATTTATTAACTCTATTACTATTTAGATATTTTGCAACTAGGCGATGAGTGCAAAATCCATAAAGCTGTAGTGAGAACGGCCACTTCGCCGCTAGTCCATTAGGAGTACATAAGACATGGGGTCAGTACAGAGAGCACAGACCTCTTGATGACATTTACCGCGAAAAAGAGTTCAATTGGACTGTTACGACGTTCTCAGAGGCGTTGGAGGAAGAATGCGACATATTTAGCCCCTGTGTTAGGATAGACCAATTCTCCAAGTTAACTTTAAACTAAATGGGCAATTGAAAAGTCAATTTGGCATACACGTGTTTTCGGTAACTCGTCATCAGGCCAAAACGGATGCATGGAAGTTAAGATTATGCGAAGTTACAGGGCTTATAAGTGATTCAGGGGCTATTAACACCCATCGTTCCCACGCCACTCGCACGACGAGGCGTGCTATGGCATGGTCGGCGTGTCGTGGTCATTGGGTCAAGGGGGGCGAGGGGGAGGGGGGACATAGGCTGTGAGTAATGTTTGTACGTCGGGTACGTTGTGCACACACAACTGCCATCAGGAGGTGGGGGTGACGTGCAATCAGCATCTGGGGTCGGCGTTGGCCACGGGAGACAGAGCGCCTGCGTCAGCGTCTTTTGACAACATAGCCCTGGACTTGCTAGCCGTATAGCCACTGCCTCGGCTGTAGCTAGCACCTATTGTGGTATGTCTCTGATGAAGCTTGCTGGTGCCCGGTAGACAGCGTGAAAGGCTTCTTTGGCATCGACTCGGTGATTCGTATCGATAAGATGTGCGAGAATAGAACTCCAAATCGATCTGTTTTCATCTCTGCCTAGCCAGGCCGGTATGTGCTCACGTACTCTCTTTTCCAGGCGCCTCGTTGTACGGCCAATGTATCCCGCTCCACAGGAGCAAGTGAATGAGTAAATACACCTCGATGTGACCTGCAACGGGAGTCGGTCTTTACCTCCCAAGCGTAGGAGGGGAGAGTTCGTGAAACATACGCGTAAATTCGCTGCGGGGAAAACGCTAGTGATGGCTGTCTTCAGACGTCTTCTTACTAGGTCACTTGCTGTGTCCCCTTGAGAAGGCAGTCTTATCAATAAGTCTTTCTTTTCCGCAGCTGCCATGATGGGCTTTGCAGTGCGCTCACCTATATTTTGGAGGATAACTCTTTTTGGGTATCCGGTTTCGTGGAGTATATCCCGCAGCTTAATTCCAACTTCTGTGTAACTGTTTTGCACTAATGACAAAAACACGTGTTTGCCAAATTGACTTTTTAAATGGGCAATATTTAACCGTCAATAGTATAAACTTGCGAATTAGTGGACCCTTATTTTTAGTTTGCGCGTGTCATTACAGTTTTGACTACTGCTGACTACAACTCGCAAGCATTCAATCAGCATATCCGAAGTGACTGCAGCATTGATAGTGCGATGTATGACGTAGATATCTTGTCGCGTTCAGTACGAGTAGGCGGGTTGTCCAATTTTTCCAGCCGCTAATCCCAGTTTTGGCGCCAGTTGGATGACAAGCCCAGACAGTCGGTTTATGAATGTGAGAACGAAGAGGGTCTGCGACTTGTGCAACATCTGCTGCACTCTCTCATTCTCCCCACCTGGGCCCCGTGTCAAGGCAGGGCCAAGAAGACCGGAGGCGGAGGAGGGCGCAGGTGGATGGCGCGGTCGGACCCGCACCTAGGCGTGCGGCTCCATAACCCCTGGTCCACAGCAAACACGAGACCAGGCCTGAGGGCGAAATTTCGAGTTCCAGGTGTATGCATAAGTGAAGAAGAAGGAGAAGAGTCGAGCACCGGAACACTTTGTTTATTGTCCTGATCTTTCAGACTCGTACAGGAGTCCATCGTCAGAGGTAGTAGCAACAACAGAGCAAGCGACAGTTATAAGGCATGTAGGCCAATCATCGACCGACGGCGCAATACTGGAGGTGACTACGCAGGGCGCCAGATCGATAAATCGATTGACCGAGTTCTCATCCGAGGCCCAGGCTTCAATCAATTCTCGGTCTGTTTTGTTTCCGGCGTGGGCGACTATTTTGGTGTCTGTACATTATCATAAGTGGCCGCCCATGCCTACGAAATGGGTCACGCGTTTAACTCCGCAGCCAACAAAATAGTCACCCACGCCGGAAACAAAACAGGCCCCGGTCCACAGCAAACACGTGACCAGGATTTTGACCAACAAAAACAAAAATAGGAAAGGCGTGTATGACTGCGCAGCCATGCACACGACCTGTATACCTAGTGGGAACGCAAACGCATCTGCCGGCAGGGAACCAGGGCAATATTTAACCATCAATAACATAAATTTGCGAATGAACGAACCCTTATTATTAGCTTGCACGTGCCATCACAGTTTTGACTACTGCTGACTACAACTCGCAACCATTAAATCAGCATATCCGAAGTGACTGCAGGATTGATGGTGCGATGTGTGAAGCAGATACCTTGTCGCGTTCAGTACGAGTAGGCCGGTTGTTCAATTTCTTCAACCGCCAATCCCATTTGGATGACAAGCTCAGGCAGTCGGTTTATGCATGTGAGACCGAAGAGGGACTGCGACGGACACTGGGAAACCCATCCTCACTGCAGATCGCCGTGCTCCTCACTGTGACAGTTCGACCGTCGTGTAGGACAACGTCCACCGTGTGCTCATGCAGCATGCACGGTGACCTGTGCGTGATTTCGTTTATGGTGATAGTAGACTTGTGCAGCATCTGTTGCACTCTCTCATTCTCCTCCACCTGGGCCCCGTGTCAAGGCAGGGTCAAGAAGACCGGAGGCGGGGGAGGGCGCAGGTGAATGGCGCGGCCGGACCCGCACCTAGGCGTACTGCTCCACAGCCCCTGGTCCACAGCAAACAAGTGACCAGGATTTTGACCAACAACAACAACAACAACAGAAAAGGCGTAGATGACTGGGCAGCCATGCACACGACTTGTATACCCAGCGGAAGCGCAAGCTCATCTGCCGGCAGGAAACCAGGTGCCAGAGAACTGCCAGCGCATATCAGGCTTCGAGGGCCATGGTTTGCTGAGTCGTGACGTAGCGGACACTTAAAGACCTTCAGGCCAGCTCCTCAGTATAGCAAGTCTAAGGCACCGAGACGCGTCGCGGTGCGCTAAGAGTTGGCGTTCGGTAGGTTATAACTGACAGAATAACATTTGAATTTATAAGATCATCTAGAATCAATGGGAAAAATAAATATTATATAAGCAGTCTTTTTTTCGTAGCACACTTTCTACAGTAGGTCAACCAGAAGTTGATTCAAAGATGGCATCCTGTTGAGTCTGAAATGTTGCGGGATTATGCGGCATGATAAGCAATCTCACAACCCCACCAAAGTAATTCTGTCGAATCGAAAACGCATCGGCCAACATTTCATGAGGTCAGTCACTCGGTAGGGCTAGACGTTTTATCCTACCTATCAAAACGGTTACACATGAGCAGAGCCTAGCTTTGTGAAGTTGCATGCGTGGTCTGCGAGCGGCTAGGAGCATACAGGGAAACCGCCATATGCACCAAGTTGCCTGAAACGACCTTCCAATCTCCCTAAGTTTGAGTCCGAGGGCGACAGTTCGTACACGTCTGTATACATCACAATCCCGGCCACTACACTGACGCATTAGAGAAAATTACGGATCCCAGAACCATCGCTGATTGTGTACAACTTCTCCTACAAATTGCATTTTGATTCTATCCGTTGTGGCAGCTGCGAGATTATCACTGGCTTGAGCAGTGCTCATCGCCACTTTAGTGGCCGTCAGTAAATAAACACACAAGCGACCAAATCAGTGAGAACTGTTCGCCGGGTAGTTTTGCTCAAAGCGTTCTTTACTGCGTCTCAAAAGTTAACCTACTCCAGACAGCGTGACGACATTACGGAGCGCGGAAATGATCGGCTAAAATCAGCCTGCGTGCGAAATAGTAGACGAACTGGCGTTGATGCGCACATTGAAAAACTTCTGAACAGACTGTGTGGAATATCGATTAGGTCCCTCAGAAGTGCAACTGCGAAGTTACTCCACGAAATGCTCGAAATATCGATGATCTCATTGATCGTCCGACCATCAGGACTATAAAAGTGCTGTCGAGGAGAAGCCAACTCAAACAGCTTCACCGCCGCAGACATGAAATTCGTCGTTCTCTGTGCCCTCTTCGCTCTGGCCACAGCCCACTACGGCTCCTCCGGTCACTTCGCCGGAAAAGCCGCCTTCAAGGGTGACGTCTACTTCGAGGGCTGCTACGAGGAGACCTGCCACAAGGACGGCTTCGACGGCTACGGCTGCAAGGCCGGTCGCTGTGCCTACATCTGCCACCCCAAGGGCTGCTACGAGTCCCAAGCCTACTCCCAGACCAGCGCTGAGAGCTGGGGTGAACAGGAGGGCTATGGCAAGCGTTTCGAGAAGGGTGGCTCAAAGGGCCAGAGTCAGTACAAGGGTCACGTGCAGTTTGGTGGTCGTGTAGACTTCTCGGGCTGCACGTCGGAGTACTGCAACAACGGTGAGGTTGAGGGCTACAACTGCAAGGACGGTCACTGCGAGACTGTCTGCAAGGGCAGCGAATGCCACGAGGAGAAGCAGTACGGCTACGGATACTAAAAGGCCCTTGTAATGTACAACTTAAAATAGACACTATTCATATTTATTGCTGTATTTTTTCAATGGGCTTAAGTCCTTGGGGGATCCAGTCTGCGTGAAAACGGGTCGTTCGTTGACTAAATTATATTTGGTAGAGGGTGTGTTTATGATATTACAAAATGATCTACAATGTTCGATTCGGCTAACTTGCTGATGTCGACCGGGCTCTTTTTGTTTGTTTCAA